GATCCCAGGACCCTGAGATCATGACCTGAGCCGAAGGCAGACGCTTAACCATCTGAGCCACCCAGGTGCCCTCTCTTATTTATTTTTTGAGAGAGAGAGAACATGCACATACATGCCTGAGCAGCAGAGGGAGAGGGTGAGAGAAAATCCCAAGCAGGCTCCACATCCAGCGCAGAGCCCCATGCAGAGCTAAATCTCACAACCCTGAGATCAGGACCTGAAGGGAAACCAAGAGTTGGACGCTTAACCAGCTGAGCCACCCAGGCACGCCCCTTCTTGCATTTCTTTATGTGTGTCTGTGTGTATGTGTTTACATACACACATGTCCATATATTATTGTAATATTTTTTTTATCAAGGCAATTTTTTTTCCTTTTTTCCTCTGCCCCCCCGCCCCGTTTTTTTTTTGTTGTTGTTGTTGTTTAGCTCTACTTTTCCTCTCTCTTTTGCCCCTCTTCTGGAATTAATCTTTTCCACACATGCCTTGCCTTTCCCAAGTAACCAATCCATTTTAACATGCTGATTTGTATCCTTTCATATTTTTCTCTGTGTTCTTTTAATAATATGCAAACATGAATTATTATTTAATTGAAAAGATCACAACATTTAGTCAGTGCTCATTATTTGCAGTAGTTATGTTCTATAGTTTCTGTGAACACTTAATTATAAATACTGTACTGCTGCTTCTAGAGGAAATACAAGGTTATGTTACTGCAGCCTCTGATCAAACATTGTTTTTAACCAAATAATACCTAACCTTATTTTATGTGTTTTTCTGTTTAAAACTTTATTTAATATATATTGTTGTTTCATTAACATTGAACTCACAGCCAAGAGCACTCATGCCTAAATGAAGCTTATCTAACACATATAAGGCACATCAAAGCTTTCTGTTTTTTTTTTTTTTTTAAGATTTTATTTATTTATTAGAGAGAGAGAGAGCAAGCGAGCACAAGCAGGGGGAGCAGTAGGCAGAGGGAGAAGCAGACTCCCCACTGAGCAGGGAGCCCAACGCGGGACTCGATCCCAGGACCCCAGGATCATGACCTGAGCTGAAGGCAGAGGCTTAACCACCTGAGCCACCCAGGCATCCCACATCACAGCTTTTTTGCACTTAGGAACATTAGCCAGCACTTCAGCACTCAGCATAAAACAGTGAAATTGCCAACAAAAAGGCACAAGAAATGTGAAAACGTGACACTAAACAGATCACGAAAAAGGCATTTGTTTACAGTATGATAGCTAAAACAAGAAAGAAAGGGGTACCTGGCTGGCTCTGTCGGTAGAGCATGCCACGCTTTTTTTTTTTTTTTTAAGATTTTGTTTTTTTAATTTATTTGTCAACGAGAGAGAAGAGAGAGAGAGCGAGCGTGAGAGTGCGCGAGTGCGCGTGAGCCCAACCAGGGGGTGCAGCAGGCAGAGGGAGAAGTGGGCTCCCCGCTGAGCAAGGAGCCCAATGCGGGACTTGATCCCAGTTCTGTGGGATCATGACCTCAGCTGAAGGCAGACACTTAACTGACTGAACCACCCAGGCATCCCAGAGCATGCCACTCTTAATCTCAGGGTCCTGAGTTCAAGCCCCACGTTGGGCATGGAGTCTACTTAAAAAAAAAAACACAAAAAAACAAAAAACAACCCAAGAAGGCAAAATAATACTTTGTTCAACCTCAGCTTGGATATGTGTTTTAGGCGATTTTTTTTCACTGCTCTGTGCATACCTACAAATGATCACAAAAGGCTGCAAGTGTTGATTTTGGGGTTACAAATAAATTTTAGTGCATAAGCAAATTTGCAAATGATCCACAAATAATGGGGATCAACTTTAGATTTCTCTGTATGTTTCTTTTCTCATTTAACAATGTGGTGCAAATCCCTGTGTCCACTGGTGTAGAATAGTTCATGAGATACTATGATATGTGTGAATCATAACTTATTCATAAATGGGCATTGTTTTTCTATTATTTTTCTTCTACAAGCAATGCTAATATAAATATCTTTGAACGTATATTAGGTACTAAGATACATTTTCAGGAGTGGGATTGTTGAATTGAAGGAAAGATTATTTTTTTTTAAGATTTAATTTATTTATTTGAGAGAGAGCACGAGCATGGGTGGTGGATAGGGGCAGAGGGAGAGGGAGAAGCAGGCTTCCTGCTGAGCAGGGAGCCCGATGCAGGGCTCGATCCCAGGACCCTGAGATCATGACCTGACCCGAAGGCAGGCACTTAACTGACTG